GCCCCGTCTACCCGGCGTACCTGCTGCAAAGTGCTGGAAGCTTTGCCTGTCTGAGCAGCGCTCAGAATGGGAACCAGGTTTTATCCTTGCTCCCCCCCACCTCTGTAATTGGCCTCTCCCTCTCCTCCCCATCCTCTGCACCCCTTTTGTAACTTGTTTCTTCCCCTTCCTCTCCTGTTGAGTAGGATACATCCGTCCCTTGCCTAGCCCTGACCTTGAGTGGGTGAACACATGCCAACGCCTCTCCGAGACCACCTCCACCCCCTCTCTGGAGACCATCTCAGCTGGTCAGGCAGCCTCTTATCTGCTGGAAGAGTGGACAGAGAGAGAGAGAGAGAGGAGGGGGCAGGCCTGAGCTGGGCCAAATGTGGGGTGGGGTACATAGTCGCACCTCTGATTCCTGTTCCTGGGGAGGCTCCCAGCAAACTTGTTACTGTGTTTTGTGGTGCTGGGCAGGAGGAAGGGAATCAAGGCTGTGGGGCGGAAGCAGACAGGCTCTGAGAAATCCAGGTCACTTGGGGGGGTACAGGAAGGTGGCCGGGCTCCCATCTCTGTTCTCCACCTTGTCCCACTCTCTCTGGGTGGCAAGTCCATGCGGTGGGGGTGGGGGGGTGGTCCATCCCAGGGAGCGGTGATACCCCATGCGAGAGGCTCCAAACAGTCAGCCCTCTCCCACCTGCTGCTCCTCTCTCCTGACTGAGGGGGCGCAGGAACAATTTCCTAACTTAGGGGTGTGGAAACAGTCTCCTGACTGAGGGGTATGGAGACAATGTCCTGAGAGTGAGGGGGTGCTGGAAAACAATCTCCTGGCTGAGGGGTACGGAGACAGTCTCCTGAGGGGTGTGGAAAATGTTTCCTGAGGTGGTGTGGAAACAGTCTCTTGGCAGAGGGGTGCAGGAGCAGTCTCCTGACTGAGGAGTGTGGAACGACTCCAGACCATGAGAGGGTGCCGGGAAATCTTCCAGAAACTCCAGGATCACCAGTAACTCTTCCTGAGGTCACAGGTTCAGTGCAGCCTTCTCTGTGGTGTGGGCAACCCCTTTGCTGCTGAGCTCCCTCTGTGCCTAGACTTCCTGTAGGGCTCCTGCACAGGGGGTGAGGACTCCAGAAAAATCTGGATCATTATGTGTGCAGAGAAGAGGATGCAGAAGGATCTGTGTGTGGGAAGGAGCCCTCAGCGGTACCTGTGTATCTGAGATGCAGGCCCCCTCCATTCCTGTAACGACAGCCCATTCAGCTCCACTCATGTACCCCGCTACTTCCTGTCTCCTTTTGTGCCCAACCCAATTCCCCACTTTCTCATCTCTGATTCTTCCCTAGTCTATACTAGCTACTCTATTCACCCCCCCAGCGGCCCCTCCCAGCTCCCCTTGCCCTCTGAAACAGTCCACAGCCTGAGTTTTCTCCCCAGCTCAACAGCCATCCCTGGTCTCCTCTGGGGCCTCTGAAAGTCAACAGGTTGCAACCTCACATTTGCCTCTCTCTGTGGTTTTCTTCACACGGATCAGGCCAGTGGCAGAGTTGTAGAACACTTGCATAGAATGTGTGAGGTCCTGGGTTCCATCCCTAGCATTGTGAAAAAAACAAAACCCCCCTACAATCCCTCAGACCAAACTCTGCCACATCCAGGTCAGTCCACAGGAACATGGGAACTTGTGAATCCCACCCCAACCTCAGTCTCCCTCCTGTTCGGCCACTTCTCTCCTGATCTGTCTGTCCATCCCTGATATCCCATCAGGCTTTCTAAGTTCCACTCCTCCCTTTCCCCTCTCTCCTCCCACAGGGCCATCCATCACCTGTTCCCCTCTGGGAACCAGGCTCCCACCATTGGCAGCCCTGGATCTCTCCCCCATAGTGGCAGGACCTCCATTTCCAGGGGATGGGAAATAAGTTCCTACCTGCTACTCCCCCCGCCAAACCTTCAACCCCCCCCCCCCCCCGTGACCTGCTCCCCTCTGGTCCCATCTCCCATCCCTCTCCCCATTGCTCACCATGTTGAGTGACGAGATTTTGTCCAGAGGTCAGTGCTCGCCTTGCATGAGACAGACCTGGTGCTTCATCCCCAGCACCAACACCGCTGTTCTCCTGAGTCCTGCGAGGAGTGACCCTGAGCACAGAGCCGGAGTCAGCTCTGAACGTGACTGGGTGTGGCCCCCAAACGAACAACAAAAGATTTGCTTTGTTCCTTGACTCACTAAGTCCACTCCAGTCTCTGGACCCTTGCACTTGGGGATCTCCTCTTCCTGGAACCCCTCCCCCAGTGCCCTCCAGCTCCTTTTCTACCTTTAAGCGTCAATCATAAAAGCTTTGTCTCAGAGGGATTATCTGGTCCTCCATGCTTTTCTCAACACGACCCCCTCCCCCAATGACATGTTCTCTGGCCCTTGGGCAGTCTCCCTGAGCCCAAGGCCTTGCCCACTGCTCTGTGGCCTGTGTCAAACACTGAGTAGGGCACAGCAGGTGCCCAACAGTTATTGGGGGACATGCTCCAGCGGCCAGGGCCCATCTGAGGGAGTGCACTTGGCCCTCTCGTTGGGCTCACTGTCTGAATGACTGGAGCATTTTTCCCAGGTTCTTCTAGAGGACGGGAGGCCAGGACCCCACCCCTGTGCTGAGGACCCCACCCCAGGGGTCCAGTTTAGACTCTGGGGTCTCTGGGATCCAGAAGGCCTGGGAGGATGTCGATGAACTACCCTGTTCCTGTCTGTCCCCTGTGACCCTGAGAGGGGAGGAAAGAAAAATAGTGGACAAGCCCCCGCACCTGGATTGCATGCGGCACAAACATGGAGGAAACTAGGGCCCAGAATAGCACTCACAGTGCTGTGAGGGGATGGGGAGGGGGGCCCAGTATACCGCCGCCCCCCAACTGTGAGGGGTTCTGCCACCTCTCACAATCCTCTTCCAGGGGGGCTGCCTAGAAGCAGAGGGCATGGTGCCTGGCTGTGACCTGGAATCAAAGGGCATGAAGAGTGAAGAGTGACACACCCTGTCACTCCCCTGGCAGGCTCTAGGCTGCTACTTGGCTTTTCTAGTTTTTCTGGGCACATGCAGTTCGCCACCCTCTCCCACACCGACAGAGATGAGCATGGGGCTGGTCTGCACTCAGGTGCTCCCTCAGTGGGGAGTGGGGACAAGTGGGGGGTGTGGTGGGTTGTCTGACTCTGGCCTTGGGGTTCTCTCTCTGGGGCTTCATCCGACCGCCATGAGCACAGTCAGGCGACTCACCCAGGGTATACCTCAGGGGACTGCCAGAGTCCCACAGTGAGCTTGTGTCTGCTGGGATGTGTGAAGTGCTTGTCTCACCAGTGGTCAGCCCAAAAAGCAACAGAGGTGGGGAGGCTGTCTGACACTCCCGACTTGACCCCGTAGGCAACCTACCCTGCTGGGCTGGCTCTTTACCTGGGGGCCAAGGCACGCTTAAGTTCTGGGTGGCCAGGACCACCCAGTGCTCAGTGTAAAGTGGGGTGTCCACTCTGCTCCCCACGCCAGTGGGAGATGTAGGGGCCTGTCCGTCAGGCATCTCCTCACCCCACTAGGCAAGGCTCTGGGTGCCCACTGGCTTTTTCCAGACTCTTCTGGGTTTCCAAATCTTTGCCAGGAACACCCGTGTGTTTGAGTGTCTTCCAGGTAAAGCCATGACGCTGTGTCAGAGTCCCTTTACTGTAACTGGGTGGCAGCCCTGACAGCTGTGGGGACCTGCCCTTCCTTTGTGTCAGTCCGAGAGATCGTGGCCCTACAGGACCACTGAATTTTCTGGGGCACCTGAAGTCTGGTTCTGCCTTGTGAGTTCTGGGAGCCATCAGGTGTTTCTAGCAGGCAGCCGGACATCACTGACAGGGAGGTCTGGGGCGGGGGCGGGGCACTCTGAGGGCTTCGCACTTCTCTTCTCCTGTGTCTGTATTTGCTGGGGGCTTTGCATAGATTCGTGGTTGCTCACAGATGTGCTAGGCCAGCTCCCTCCACTACTCTGAGGACTCTGCACAAGCCCTATCCTGGAGCGCTGACTTTCTGTGCTGCTTCTCATCCAAAGGCCCACTCCTGCCCATCCCTCGGGCCTTGAGTGCAGGTGACATATGGTGCTCAAACAAGAGAACCTGGGCATCTGGAACTTCAGATGCCACCAAGTGACCTTCAGATGACTTGCCCTGAAGGGTCTGTGGACACTCCCTGGAAAACTCAGCCGGGCAGTGGGGTCAAGGAAGAAATCATCCTGCTCCAACTGTCAAGGGGCAGCAGTTTGATTCACATCTCCCCCCGGTGTCCTCCCCCCCTCCCACCCCCACGGATTCCACCCCTATCAACAAAAGCAGTTGGAGAGAAGTAAGCCCCTCCTCCACCAGAACCCCAGGTCCTGGAGGCCATGCCAAAAACCCAGCCCGGGCATTCTGGCTGAAATCCTGTAAGGTGTGTGTGTGTGTGGTGTGTTTGTGTGTGTATGCAGAGAACATCATGAGGGCCAGTACTGCCACTGGAGAAGCAAAACCATCCACAAGTGAGTGCTGGCTGAAATCATGTAAGAAGGTGTATGTGTGTGTGTTTGTGTGTGTGAGCAGAGAACAGCAGGAGGGGTAGTACCGTCGCTGGACAAGCAAAACCATCCATAAATGAGTGCTGGCTGAAATCCTGTAAGGGATGTGTGTGTGTGTGTGTGTGTGTGTGTGTGTGTGCGCGCGCGCGCGCAAAGAACAGCATGAGGGGCAGTACTGCCACTGGAGAAGCAAAACCATCCACAAGTGAGTGCTGGCTGAAATCCTGTAAGGGATGTGTGTGTGTGTGTGTGTGTGTGTGTGTGTGTGCGCGCGCGCGCGCAAAGAACAGCATGAGGGGCAGTACTGCCACTGGAGAAGCAAAACCATCCACAAGTGAGTGCTGGCTGAAATCCTGTAAGAAGGGGTGTGTGTGTGTGTGTGTGTGTGTGTGTGTGTGTGTGTACGCAGAAAATAGCAGGAGGGGCAGTACTGCCGCTGGAGAAGCAAAACCATCCACAAGTGAGTGCGGTTTCATGGTTTATTTTTGGCAGGAAGGAAAATCATCGCAAACGTCTTGACCAACAAGGCGCGCCCCTGGACACGTGCACATTCCACACACAGCATTTCCCAGGTCATGCTGGGTTGCTCATCACATTCAAACGTCCAAGAGAAATCGAGGGCTATCCCAGGCACCGGCTCCATGAGCTGGTGAGCAGGCGGGTGTGAAGTCTGCAGAGAAGCTCCCCTGGAGAACGGGAACAGGATCAGACACGTCGGATTTACAGTACAAGAGGAACAGAGGCAGCCAGCCAGTCGCACACAGGTCAAGCATGTCAAGCCATCCCCTCTTCCCGAGCGCTGGCACGCCAACTGTCCGGCACAGCACCTTTGAAAGCAGAGGCACAAACATCACGAGTGTTTGACATAGGGCTGTGTGGTTTAGGATGTTGGTTAGAAAGCTGTCTTTCAAATATAGGGTGGTAATGTTGTCAGGTTATGAACTTAGATTTTTTTTTTTTAAATACCAAGTTCAAATGCCGTAACCATGGTGAGCCAGTGCCATTAGGGAATCTTTCTGTCTTCAAAGTGAAGTTCTGAAATCACCTCATCAAAACTGCACAGTGTCAGAGGGGCTTCCCCATCAACCAACAGCTGGGACTGGTGGGGCGGTGTTCCTTTTCAGTATGCAGACACACTGTTGGCAAATGGCCAGTGGGTGAACTCACAGACCCACACACAGGCTCCAGAGCCATGGAAGACTTGAGCATGTTCGGGCACTGCCACTGGAGCCTGGTGAGAGATATCATAAACTCGAAGACGCCGAAGTACAGGACTTAAGCATTCTGTCCCAAATCTCAATGTTCCAAATACTTTTTAAACTCCAGGAGACTTTATCTTAACCTGGCACAGAAAGGCCCATGAGAACTTAGGAGGTCAGACTTTTCTTTTGGCTGAAGAGTGTTTTGGTAACATGGAAAGAATATGGCACAGAAAAATAGCTGAACAGGTTTTATCAGGTTTTAAAGCCCACAATTTAATAAAAGGTAATCATTAAAAACAATACCCGTATTCACCTTAAAAAAAAAAACACCCACCATAATCCCCAAACATTCGTCTCATTTCTTGGCCTTTTTATGTTAGAATTCTATTGCTTCATTTACATGTAGATGACTAAAAATATATATATATATATTTATAGATATAGATATTTTGATTATGTACATAAAACAGAATCAAGGGTTAAATTCAAAACGGAATTTTGGAGTGTGATCAAATAAGGTACCCAGAATCTAGACCCCTCAGAAGGTTTGGTGACCCACCCCCATCCTGGCAGGAACCAGCCCCAACCCCAGCAGTTCTCCAGAGCCTGAAGCAATGGCGCCCACGGGTTCAGGAAGTACGAGGTGAAGTGTCTGGCTCCAGCCTGCCAAATGTCTCCATTCCATTTCTCAGAAGGGGGGCACTATTCCTAGGTTCAGCTCCTCTGAAATATTCTAGGTTCACTCCTCTCCTATTCCAATGAGGCCGTGTGACTCTAACAGAGGAACAGAGGCATGGGTGAGGGTCTAAGGCTCATTCATCAGGTTCGATTTCCGTATGGATTTCGACACTTTGAGAGACACTTGACTCGAACATTCAAGACTTTTAAGGCAGCGGGTTCATTTAATGACTGGTTTTCCAAATCAGGGTTTATGGCATGTGCAGATCTGCCACATAACTGTCATTCTTTGTGGCAAGGCCTAGCATGGGACTCTTTAATTAATTGGCATGTGGATTAGTGGGGCGCTAACATGCAGAGGGTTGAGGAGACCTGGTCACTCCTGAATAGTTACTTCTTTTCTCAGTGCACGGCAGGCCACCAAAGACAGACGACAGTGTTGCTGGGCATGAGAGTGGCACCTGGCTTCGTGATTTCGTGAATGACAGCAAAGACGGAATTTTACCTTGACCCCTAGTTTCCAATTTCCTTCAGGCCAGTTGCTCCCAGCAGAACTGGCAGAGGCCCAACCCACAGTGGACTAAGGCAGTGGCTGCCAACAAGAAAGGGAACTTTTGAATCATTCTTCAGAGCAATATTTTACCGACTCTCTTGTCAAGCAAGAAACATGGCACTGCGTAAAATCGCTCACTAGGGAAGGCAGACAAGGGGAACCCCTCCCCCCTGGCTTGGGGACAATGGATCTTGGTGTGGAAAGAATGCCCTGACCCTCAGCTCCGACAGCTGTACTCCCCAGAAGAGGACTGAGGGCCACAGCAGCTTGGTGGCTGGGTGAGACCTCAGGTTCTCACAAGACAGTGGTCAGCTGATGGTGGGGTTGAGGCTCCTCTGTGAGCTGCACTTGTTCTTCTGTCTTTGTATCCCTGGAATGCCCACGGCTGGTGCCAGGGGAGGGAGACAGTTGGGGCGGCCGGCTAAAGGGGCGAGACGCCTGTGTTTCTGAGACTGTCTGAGTTTGCAGCTTAGCAGTGAGCAGATTCTGAGCATAGGCACAGTGGCAAGGAACAGTGTGACAGCCGCTGGTCAAGTCCATTTGGTGGCAGCGAGTAGCAGCAAAGGAAATTCCCTAACAGCTCCTTGTGTATCTAGCTTCCAGAAAGGAAAGATTTGAAATTCGGTAAAGGAAAACAAACAAAAAAGAATAAAAAAACTCCCCCCAAAATCCAAGGATATTTTTTTTAAGGGCTTCGTGTAACTGTTCTATCTGAAATGATATCAAGAAAACAATGCAGAGAAGTATGGCAGTAGTGTCAAAGCAGAAGTGACAATTATGCCACTTCTCAAGGGGAAAATGTGACCCTCAAGACAAAACTTGTCACCCATTGGAAATAAGGACATAAAAGAACCTATTGTTCTCTAAAGCGTTGAGCCACACAATTGCAGACACATTCCAAACTGGGTCAGGAATGAAAGAGACGCTGACGACGCAGTCACGGTGAGTCCTGTGGGGAGCTCAGCCCTGTGGCTTGCCCAGGCCATCCAGAGGAAGAGCTCCTGACTTGTCCCGTCCCTCGGCCCCACCTCTTAGCACCCCTGCACCCCCACCCCCGGTTCTAGAAAATTGTCGTGTTTATCTTCTTAGAGAATCTGAGTCAATAAAAGACTAAAAGATGTCTGGAAATATGCTGTGTAGAAAAATTAACTCTCAGCTTAAAATAACTTTCAGAAAGGCACTTCATCCTGTAGGAAAGAGGATTGTGAGCTGGGAGAGCTGCTCCGAGCTGGAAGAGTCGGGGACCAGTTGCTTGGAGGGGAGGACAGTTGAAAGGAGGTCCAAGAGATATCAAGCTTTCCCCCCGCCCCCCATATATATAATGTGTATATATATGTATATATATATACTTTTTTCCTTTTGGTATGTTTTAAAAAGCAAATCCATGTAAAATGCATGTCCCTTTATGAAATCTATTAAAAGAGTTCATTTTTTTTTAAAATAGCTGCTTCTGTTCTTAAAAAATAAAAACAGGTAGGTATGGCCTCATTCACCCCGAGTGTCCGCCCTCTCTGCTCCCTGGAGGCTGAAGAATGCAGGTGCCCAGGGCGGCACAGGCCGGGGCTACCTGCTGCAGAGTCTGTGCAGCATACTGTACACGTCGTCCTCCCGGCTCAGGCCCTCGAAGAATGGAATGAGATCCAGCAGCTCCGTGTCGGTCATGTCGTCGAACCAGGACTGCACGGGGACCTGGAAGACAGTGCGTGGAGAGGCAGCAGAGCGGCAGACGGAGTGTGTGTGTGTGTGTGTGTGTGTGTGTGTGTGAGAGAGAGAGAGAGAGAGAGAGAGAGAGAGAGAGAGAGAGAGAGACTCTGCCACCTGGGAACCCCACAGGTTTTCTCAAATTCCTGGGCAGGAAGACAGAAATTGGGCAGCCTCCTCCTCCTCCTCCATCACTGTCCTGGTTCCTCTATCCGAACTAATGCGACCCAAAGTCACCTGATAGGGAATGGGCTGAGGAAGCCCGAATACTTGCTTTATAATATATTTGCTTGTTTTACTTTCCTAACTGCAGGAACATTGGGGCCTGGGTGCAGGGGTCTAAGTACGTGCTACTTGCGGATTTTGTAAAGCTCTTTCCATGGCATGGAACCAGCCTCTGACATCTCCATGTACTCAAGCCAGAGGCTGCTGCCTCTGATGCTGGGGAACCTCCATATAGGGAGGAGGGCTTTGAGGCACTTGGGGTCACAGTGCCAGGCCCTGTGGTGGAGGAGAATGGTCAGCTAAAAGGGGAGAAAGTAAAACTTTAACATTAGGAAGCCCTGGGCAAGATTAAGATTTTCTAGTTTTAGACAGAGGGGTACCAAGAGATATCAAAAGAAATCTGGGAAAGAAAAAAAAAATTTAAAAAGATTTTTATTTTTTAAATATTTCTTTATTTTTGCTTTTTGGGTCACGTCCTGCGATATACAGGGGTTACTCCTGACTCATGTACTCAGGAATTACAACTGGCAGTGCTCAGGGGACCATATGGGATGCTGGGAATTGAACCTGGGTTGGTCATGTGCAAGGCAAATGTGTTACCTGCTGTGCTATTGCTCAAGCCCTAAAAATTATTTTTAATCTTTTAAAAAAATCTGAAGGGAGCTTAGAAATGATTCATTACATGTTTCTCTTCTCTTTTTTTCTTTCCTTTTTTTAAAAAACCAAACAACCACCACCAAGGCAAGAGTTAAAATAATGACTACCCCAAGGAGAAGGAAGGAATGAGGGAGATATAAGGAAGGACTTTAGGGGCCAGGGACTAGCTCAGTAGTCAAAGACACAAGCTGGGAATGCAAAGGGACTGAGTTTGAACCCCAGCACTTCCCTGAGCCCACCCTGCCAGCACTGCTGGGTTTGCTCCTGGGCAGGCCAAGGCAATGAATCATCTGGCCAGGCCGGCCCAGTATTTATGGCAATGCCCCTGGGCCTCCAAAGCACCCTGGACATAAGATAAATTTTCTACATTTATCTTTGTTAATAGTTTTGGTGTTGGAACCATGCCAATGTGTTACATAATTAAAATCAAACCATTCAAAGAAAAGCAAGAAATAAACACAAGTGTAAAGTTGGTGATATAAATCACAGAGAATTACTTCAAGGGATTTAAAAACATAGCACTCTATCTGCACTCAAAAATCTCTAAAATAGTGCTCGCTTCGGCAGCACATATACTAAAATTGGAACGATACAGAGAAGATTAGCATGGCCCCTGCGCAAGGATGACGCGCAAATTCGTGAAATGTTCCATATTTTTTAGACAAAAAATAAATAAAGCAATAAAAAAAATGAAACGTTTAAAAAAAATACAGAGAGTATGGGGAATGTTGTCTGCCATGGAGGCAAGGGGAGGGTGGGAAAAGGCGGGGTAAAACGGGAATATTGGTGGTGGGGAATGTGCACTGGTGGAGGGATGGGTGTTTGATCATTGTGTGATTGTAACTCAAACATGAAAGCTTGTAACTATCTCACGGTGATTCAATACAATTAAAAAAAAAATAAATAAACTACTGTTTAAGAAAAAAAATCCCTAAAATAAGTTGTCTTATTACTAGCAATAGTAGTAGACGAAAGTTTCTGTGTGTTGTGTGGTATTCGGTGTCGAACCAGGGACTGCATAAGCATGCAAGTGCTCTCTCCTACTGAGCCACATATCCAGCCCTAGCACTGCTGCTTTGAGAAATTAATTTTTTTTTTTTGGCCACATGGTGCTGAAGGATCACTCCTGGTGGGATTTGGGGGCAAAATGTGGTGCCAGCGATCAAACCCTGGTTAGCTGTGTGCAAGGCAAAAATCTTATAGGTGTAAAATCTCCTGGCCCCTCTTTGATTTAATCTATAGTATATATTTTAGTAAAGTAAAAGGCCCTCCCGTTGATCATCGATTTGCTCGAGCGGGCCCAGTAACATCTCCATTGGAGACTTTGTTGTTACTGTGTCTGGCATACCGAATACTCTCGGTAGCTTGCCGGGCTCTCCGAGAGGGGTGGAGGAATCGAACTCGGGTCGGCCATGTTGGCTGCGTGCAAGGCAGACGCCCTACCCGCTGTTCTGAATAGCAGTGCTGGGGCCAGAGATTGTACATAGCAATTAAGGTGCTTGCCTTGTATATGGCTGACCTGGGTTTGATCTAATTTTTTTGACCCAGAACTACATATGGTGCTCAAGCAGAGAGCCAGGAATAAGCCCTGAACGTCTCAGACTCCCCGTCCCCAAATATAGAAATATATTTAAATCACTGTCATGGTCTTCCCATTTTTCATCGATTTGCTTGAGCGGGCCCAGTAACATCTCCTTCGTGAGACTTGTTGTTACTGTGTTTGGCATATTGAATACATCATGGGTAGCTTGCCAGGCTCTGCCATGCGGGCGAGATACTCTCGGTAGCTTGCAGGGCTCTCCGAGAGGGGCGGAGGAATCGAACTCGGGTCGGCCATGTTGGCTGCGTGCAAGGCAAACGCCCTACCGCTGTGCTATCACTCCAGCCCATATTTAAATATAAATATATATAATATGTAAATGAATAAATCCCATTAATGCCTTTATAAAATAAGAGTTTCAAAAATACAAATAAAAATATTCTGTGACCTTGTTTTGTGTTTTGGACTCTACCTGGTGGTGGTCAGGGGCTATACCAGCTTTTTGCCTGGGGGCTGGGGGTTACTTCTAGGGGTACTTGGGAAACCATGAGGTGCTAGGACTTGAACTCAGGCTTCCTGCATGCAAAGGACACATGCTTAGTCTGTTGAACTGTATTTCCGGCTCCAGATGTCGATACTTTTTTTTTCCCCCTCTTTTTGGGTCACACCTGGTGATGCCCTGGGGACCTGGCGATACTCAGGGGACCATGTGGGATGCTGGGAATTGAACCGGGGTCGGCTGCGTGCAAGGTAGATGCCCTACCCGCAGTACTATCACTCCAGACCCCCCAAATGCTGATACCTTGACACTGGATTTGGAAAGACCAATATGAATTCACAATTAGTTTTAATTTTAAGAAGGGTAGAAAGGGCTAGGTCAGTCCAGTAGAAAGAAGAACCCATAAAGGCTGTGGTTTCTACATGCGATTTCCATGAACAGGAAAAAAGTTCCATTTAAAAAAAAAAAGGACTGATTCCAGGCTGAAGCCAGAGATGGACAAGATAAGCCTGGAACATTTTATAGCAAAAAAACAGGAAGCTACCAAAATTACCGTTCTGTGAAGAGCTAAGTGTCCACTGGCCAAAGGTGAACATTTAGACGTATAAAAGAATAATAAATGGCTTAAATTGTAACAATAAAAAACCCATTAATTTATAATGATACTTAAAAATTTATTGGTTACTTTTGGAGGCAGCCAGAACACCAACTCATTACTCAGAACACTGAAAATTTAGAAAAAGAGACAAAAGGTGCCTTCCCTATTCAAACACTGAGAATGTATTTTAGGGTGATGAAGCAGTTGACAAGGGAAATTTCTTTCTTTTAAAGGAAATTCCAGTCAACACATGCAGAAGGAATGCTATAATTAAGAAATCACTGTTTTGCAATTCATAATGAAATACTTGGTGTAGGCAAAGATCATTAACTGCCCCAATTTTGAGGTGAGAGGTTGATGGGGAATTTCATGATGGATGCATCTGGGGGCCAGAATGATAGCACAGTGGGTAGGGTGCTTGCCTTGCACATAGCCAACATGGGTTCACTCCAGAGTATCCCATATGTTCCCCTGTGCTTCACCACGAGTAATTCCTGAGCATTACTAGGGTGTGACCCAAAACCAAAAAAAAAAAAGGAAAAAAAATGAACGAATCAGGTTAACCACACCTGATTCCAAAATTCAATTTAAAATCTTTAGTAGTGGGACTGCCTGCTATTATATACCTCTATGTTATGCAGTACCTTATACATAAGGTCCTATATGCTAGGCCACATGTGATGTTGAAACTGAAAAGAAGAAAAAAAAGAAGAACCCCAATTTCACTAAGTAGCTATGATCTAAGCACTTATTTATGGAAATATACTGGTTAGAAAAACATTACATAGCACCACGAGGTGGCAGCTCATCAAATTCCCCAGGGCAATAACCAGGGTTTTATAACAAATAAAAGGCATGGAAGGAAAAGGAAGAGGGGAGGTAAAAGTATTAAGAATATAAAAGAATTAAGATTACATTGTAACCAAAGCCCCACTCGTTTGGATTCTGATTAAAAAACAATCCAAACATAAAACATTTGGTAATGACAGGGAAAATATGAATAAAATAAGGATATGAGAAAATATTAAAAAGTGATTAGTCTCCTCAAATGTGATCATGGAATTGTGATGATGTTAAGTAAGTCTTATTAGCCACATTATATAGGCTGTATTATATTGAATTTGATGAGCTCATTAAAATAAACAAACTGAGATATAATAGAATTGGATGTTTTGCTCAAATAATGTCTACACAGCAACTGAATCTAATTTGGACTCATTTTCAGTGTAAACAGAGCAACAGAATTCACAATTCATGCTGGGCCTCAAGTGGGCTTTAGTTTGTGTGGATGTGGAGGGCATGGGAAAGGGCAGGGAAAGAGCACTGAGCCGAGAGCTGGGGCCACTTGGGGACCAGATCTCATCTGTCGGCCTGGCTCAGCCTCTCTAGGAGAGGAGGGCACAAGCAGAAGCCCCTCTCTTGCTCTGAAAACTGTATGCAAAGAGCAGAGAGCAACTATGAAGAAAACATTCTCTCCATATGCTTTTATCTTTTTTTTTTTTGGGGGGGGGGGGAGGCACTCCCAGAATGCTCAGGGCTATGCATGCAGGAACTGGTCCTTGTGGTGCTTGGGGGACCCTATGCGATGTCAGTGTTGGAACCCGGGTTGCAAGACAAGCGCCTTACCTACTGTACTATCACTCCGGCTCCTTTATCTGCTAAGTGGTGCTGGGGATTGAACCCAGGCAAGGGCAGAGCTGTAAGCCACAACCTTGGGCAAGGACATTCTTAAACCACACTACAAGGTAGTATAAAGCGTGGCAGCCTTCTCTGCAAACCTTATCAAAGGGTTTGATTCATTCATGCCTAAGCAATGACTCGTGTTCAAGAGATCACTCAGGCCTTCTGAGTCCAGTGGGGCTAGGAAGTGGGGAAGCGGGGGCCAGATAGCGCCAGGTTGGAGGTAGACAGAACCCTTTTCAGAAATTATACACAGAGCAAGCTCAAACGCAGAGGCTGGCAGAGTGAGGAGCCCTGTTCTATGCACTTTATACACACTGTCCGCAGAATGCTCCTTCCTGTGAAGTCGGCAGCCCAAGTGACGCTCCTTAAGGCTGTATAACTTGGGAAATGCCCCACAGTGCAGCAGAGTTGGGATACTCCAGGGAGAGGGTCAAGCTGTCCTGCCCTGGTGCCTGGAGGTCCTTGCTCAAGTCGTACCTGCCAGGTAAGATCTGGCTCAGACAGGGCCCCAGGATGCTTCTCTTGGGGGCTACTTACGGCATTCTCAGGGTGGAAGATGTACGAGGCAGGAGAATTGTCGACGATGATCACTTTGCTCAGCTCCCGACCAAGGCGACTCAGGTCCTTCACGTAATTTCCGCGATGGAAAACACATGATTCACGGAAGAGTCGGGCCCGGAACACGCCCCAACGATCAAGCAGGTCAGCCACGGGGTCTGCATACTGCAAAGTGGAAAGTGAGTGCGGACGTGAAGGCTGGGCTCTGGAATGATTCCAGAAACCCGGGTCTCTTGGGGCAAGAACCAGATTACTCCCCAGTCTGAGGCCCGGGAGATGACAGCGATCAAGTGGGAGAGCATGTGTGTGGCACCTGAGAGGTCATGTGTGGCCCCGGACACAGCATGGGTTCCTCCTTCCCTGATCAGCACTGCTGGGTATAGCCATTGTGGCCCCTTAGCATGGCCAGGCCACATGATGGGTAGAGCCTTGGGGCGTCCCTGAACCCAGCTGGCAGGACCAGGTATGGCCCTGGTGGTTGCTGGCCCGAGTTGGGTTGAGCCCTATGGACTGGCCTCTATTGGAAACAGTTTCAGATCGCTGGGGTTGCCTTAGGAATCCTCCTAGGACACAGCACACCCCAGAATGCCCCAATTCTCTCACATCTCATGTCTAACCTGTCAGGAATTCTGTTAGCTCCATCTCCAAAATGATGCCGATTCCACCTGCACCCCTTCCCTCCTCTGAGCCCCTGTAATCACTGGGCTGGGACAGCCGCTTGAGTCTCCCAAAGTTCTCTCTCTTCCTCTGGGGCTGCCTAATTTTTTTTTTTTTTTTTTTTTTTGCTTTTTGGGTCACACCCGGCAATGCACAGAGGTTATTCCTGGCTCTGCACTCAGGAATTACTCCTGGCGGCGCTCAGGGGACCATATGGGATGCTGGGAATTGAACTCAGGTCGGCCGCATGCAAGGCAAACGCCCTACCCGCTGTGCTAATGCTCCAGCCCCTGGGGCCACCTATCTGGCTGGAAATGGCAGATGCAGGAACTTGCTAGCTTGTGGGTTCCCACTGTCCCTTGCTGCTTGTCATGCCCTCTGCAGACCTGCCCCTCTGCGGGTTCTGTTCACATCTTCGTTCACGTCTTCTGCCATGTCCAGCTTCCTTACCGCCTTTCTACAGCCTGCCCACAACCTTCCTTTAGGGATGTTCTCTCTAGCCACCTGGTGTTCTCTCTCACCCGCCAGGCCCAGGCCCATGTGTGGGATGTGCCTTGAAATCCCTAGCACCCTGCAGGGTGCCTATCGCATAGCAGGGGCTCCATGAACACTGGGTCATCAGTTAAGGGAGGTACTCACCAGAAGCTGACCAGGGAGACACTCATCAGAAGGGCATGAGGCCATAGTGCCCTCTAGAGGTTCCCTGGGCAACTAGGTCAGACCAGCCTGCCAAGGTCAACGAAACCATTTTATGGGCCATTGCACAATTGGGGTCTGCCCCAGTTGGCCCTCCCTCAGGTCCTGAGTGCTCCCCATGGTAGACCGTACTGAAGCTATGAGTCCCCCGAGGGAAAAACCTTTGTACGTGAAGTCAGCTAAAAGGAGCCTGTAGGCTGGGCAGCTGGGGCTGGAAGTAAAAAAGAGCATTGCTGATCCCCAAATGTGCCAAGTTCCAGCACCCAGGCCGGGGTGGGCCACCGTGCCCACCGTGCAGTGCCTGAGGGGCCCAGTGGCTATCAGGGAGGCGCCCCGGAGGCTTCCCTGGAGAGTGGGCCTGGACAGTCGGTGGGCCTCAGCAGAGCACATGACGCCCCTCAGTGCAAAGCAGAGGCTGCAGGGGCAGGGCTGCAGGCGATGCGCAGAGGGACAGTCCACTTCCCCCCTGAGATACCAGGGGGGCAGCGGAAGAGCAGGGCTGGGCTGCCCCTGGGTAGGGCATCAGATCACACAGATAAAGCTCCAGGGGGCTGACACTGGAGGGCAAAGGCGATAGTGGCCCTCACATGCATCAACACTGACCTTCACCGGCATCTCTTGCTTTGGGCCTCCCGAGTGGTACTCAAGGGTCCCAGGTGGGGGTGGGGGACACCACTGGTGATTCTCAGTAGTTCTGCAGCAGCACAACCCTCATGCCCAGTATACCAGGCCACCGGGTGGTACGAGGGGGGCACTGTGGTACCGGGAATCAAACAGGAGCCAGGGAGAGACTAGGGGCTACTTCCCGACCCTGGGAATACACTTTTCATGGGAATATGTGGGGCTAAGGGCTCCAACTCTAAGAGCTGGCAGAGCGGGAGGGAAATGGCACGAGGACACAGCTTTCCTCACGATTATTCTCTGCTGTATCCCGGTGCCTGGCCACAGTCAGGGCTGAGTGAGGGGGCAAATGAACGAGGGAACTAGAATGACACTAGATGAAACTAGATACTATATGGCTCTCCCGGCTTAGGGTCCTCACTGCACCCGGTGCACCACTGGCACTGGCTGGAGGCTGAGCTCAGAACAAGGAACTGGGGTGAGCCCACCTGTCTGCAGAACTTGTACATTAGGGAGGAAAGAAGCTGGAAGGTGGGACCGATTTGACTGACTGAGCTAGGCTGGCGTCTCGACCAGAGAAGGGCTGGAGAGACAGATGGAGGGGCAGGTGGGAGCAGGGCGGGGGGGAGGGGGGGGAGAAAACCAATGGGGACGGTTAAGCGCAGGCTGGGGACGAGGCCAAGAAATAGTGTTTTCAATTTTGCAAATGAAAAAACAACTCTCCATCACCAACACTGGTGCAATCCTGCTGTCTGTTATTTCTCTGGTTACCACTGTGGGCTCTGCAGCCTGGCAGGCTAGTGCCGGGAGGATCATAAAAACTACAGATGAGATCAGTCTTGTATTAGTCGTCTGAAAGGAGCACGTCAGGCAGGGCTATTCTCCTGAAGGCCACGCTGTCTTTGCAGAATGTAAAGGTGAGGCCCAGATTTTGGATCCCCTCTCCACCTCACTCCGTGGGCTCTGTCTTGAAGGCCTGACAGAACAGAGAGCAGGAGGGTGCATCCCCTCATGCTGGCCACAGAAGCTGAAGCCTGAATGCACAGGACAGCAGAGCACTGTGCCAGAGAGACTATAAGCAGTCTCCAATGCGCAAAATTAGGGGAGTGAACTTTTCACAGGACGTGGGATAGATCTCTGGAGCAACACTGGAGAGGCAGATGGCTAATCTGGCCCTTCAAACTCATTTCTGGGCCATGCAGGGTCCCTGAGGAGCCCACGGAGACAGGTATGGTGTCCCTGACAAAGGGGTCTCTCTGTTTGTGTTCTGAACCAGACACTTCTGTACGCCTGGGCCAGGCCAAGCCTGACCACTGGGGCATGCTAAGGACCTGCTAGTTTTCTTCAGAGCCAGTAAAGACAGAAGGTCCAGATCACTGTACAGGATGTCACTGTTTGATCCATCTCTGATAATTACAGTGGCCCACGGGAGAGAGCAGCCTCCCCTGGCAGTGCCTGCACAGCACATGCGGAGTCCTTGAGGGCCAGTGGGCTGGCACTCGGTGAAGCCTCACCTGATGGCTCCCAGGGGCTGGAGGGGAAAGTGAGGTGAGAGAAGTGAAGGGCAAGTCTGAGTTCCCAGTCAGGGCTGCGGGGTTTCTCAGAAGGACCTCTGGCGCAGGACTGGGAGGCGGCGCTTCTCCAATACTGCGCTCCCCCCAACCACCTCTCTGCAAACTCCACCCTAGGGCATGGGGCTCAGACTCCAGTATCTGACAGTCCAGCCCCTTCTCTGCTATGATGGACATGCCTGTGGTTTCCCTGTTTGTGCAGGCTGCGACTTCGCGGAGCACTTGTTCTATGTGCCCCTGTCACCATGGTAACCCCAGAGCCTATCGGGAAGGCGCCGTGCACCAGGTCTGCACCCACCCATCTCAGGGGCGGACTGGTCGCCACAGAAACAGCTCCCTCCACCTTAAGGAGGGCTGCTCCACAGAGAAGGATGTCAGGGCCTCGTGCTGGGAGCTCGTGGCCGCGGAAAGGGCTCACCTTGGCCAAGCTGGCAGTAAAGAGCACGCATTCGAAGAGCTGCCCCATCCTCTGGAGGAACTCGTCCACATGTGGCCGCTTCAGCACATACACCTGCAGTGGCAGGAAACAGCACTGGTCAGTCACAGCTGTGGCCAAACAGCCATGGGAGGAAGAATTTCAGATGTGTTCCTGCCCTTCCTCCCTGGTGGACCCAGTCTGTTGGAGTGGAGCTGGGGAGAGGCAGAACCTCAGGCCAGGTGGCCTATTCAGGTGTCCTCCAGGTGTGAGGCGGTGCAGAAGCTCCCTCAGGGGCCTGGGGTGTGACGGAAAGGGGCCGAGGGGTCTCCAGAAGCAGGGAGAGGAAAGGGCGTACTGTGAGTGCATGTGATGATGGCGGCGGGTCACCCGTTTCTCCACCAGCACTCCCGGTCAGGCTCAGGGCCACAGGGGCCAGGGCTGAGGTGCTGCCCAAGGAGGTCTAGGCTGAATCTGTGCCCTTGCATGGGGTTGCAGGACTTGTCCAGCAAGTGTGAGGATCGTCCTGTTGGACTGTGCTTCGGCCAGAGACAGAGCAGGTACTCGAGGGGACGTGGGGCCCAGAAACCGGGCTCAGAGATCCTGACCACGCTGTCGGAACCATGGTGGGGAAACGAGAGAGGGGAACGAAGTCAAAGCTGGTGAGGAAGGAGGTGGGGAGGGGGAGGGAAGAACTAATTAAAACCTGAATAAATTCCACTTGAAATCAGCCACTTCCCTAAAATAAATCTTGCTTGTTAAAACCGAATTCTTATCCACCAAGTCCCAGCTCTGGGCTCAGTCTGAAAACAGCTACGAAGATAAAGGAAACACAGGCCTGGCCCTTGAAATGCTCAGTCTAGGACAGATATAGACAAGACCATGTACAAACAGGCCAGATGATGCTGAAGAAGCTGGGTCTGTTAAGGACAGTCAACTTATTATCAATGAGGAGTCAAGGCTCTTTTCGAGGTAGGGAATCAGATGGTAACTTTTGCACTGGGTTTTGAAGGGTGAACAGGAGTTCACCAGGTTGACAAAGTGGTGCTTCCAGCAGAGGAAACAGCAGAAGCTTGAGAACTGGTCTGACGTACCGGGGGAGTTAGACAAGGGCCAGTAGAAGGTGGAGATGAAAAGAGATGGGGAAGGGGAGGAGAGGCAGGTGAAAGGCAGGTCAGGTGAGCTGGTGGGTGCCCTGAGTGCCAGATGGAGCCAGCTGGATTCTCTGTAGGTGCGGTTAGGAGGGCAAGGGAGGGGGACTGGATATCCTGCAAGTGGAATGGGGAGGGGAGGGAAAGTGGGGGGCTCTGCAGCACACACAGGGTGCCCTTCAGGCAGAGGGATTCAGAGGAATCCTACAGAGCCTGGGTTGGTTGGAAAAGCTGAGGCTGAAGGTGTGATGAGGGGCCCGGGTGGCAGGAGAGGCAGCAGGAGGTTGCCAACATGGCTGAGGAGCTGAGCGCAGGGCCTGTGGCCGAGGTCCCCGCTTTGCTTGCCTGGGGACAGGTGTGGTTTGCAGTCCTTGGCTGCCCGGGGAACAGTGCTCAGAGGGCAAGCTTAGCCATGTGCAAAGGGGAGAAGAGGGATTTGGAATTCTGGCGCTGCTGTCTCCAACAGAAGGGAGTGTCCTGGGCCAGGATGCCGGCGTCCAGGCCCGCGTCCCCGTGCAAGTAACCAAGAATAGGCCCATCGGGACCTGCACAGCCTATCCTGGATTACTTGAACGAGGCCACGGCCTTCGCCAGGGCCTTGGTCCTCCTCTTGGCACCTGGGGTCTCCTTCCTTCAGGAGAGTTTCTGATCCCAGTCTTGGGGTGCCTTTGGTCAGCTCTGGAGGGGAACTGAGGCTCTTCCTGCAAGCATGGGCTGGCAGGTCGGGCCCCGAGGATCATGCTCAGGCACAAGGTAGGAAGGATGAATTTTTTCTCCTAGTCCTTGCCAGGTCAGGGGGAGCCTTCCCTTTATCTTATTACTTTGTAACACAAGCCAAGATAATAAATGAAGAAACTGCTTCTTGGATCCCGAGTTAATTCCGCTGATGCTTTTGCAAATGTTTAATGACCGAGTGCCTGCCATTTCAGCTCCCTGATGGCTCTGAAAAGCAAGAAGTGGGAGAACTTAGGCAGTTGCCTTTCCCAGGGAGATTTCCAGGTGGGATCTGGAGAACAGGTGAGAAATCCAGGACAGGGATGGAGAGACTCAAGTATAGGAGAAAGAGCTCTGGGCCAGGAAGTCAGAGACTAGAAGTCCCATTTTAGGACCCTTCCCATTGTATGACCCTGAACCACAGACAAGGTTTTCTGAGCCTCGGTTTCCTCCTCTGGAAAATGGGTAGCTAGACTATCTTGGCAGCTCCCATAGCTTATGCTCAAGGCCAAAGAACAAGTGACTAGAGAAAGACATACTGTTATGGCTCAAGCACCAGAACAAGATTTTCCTTCTTGGGCTAGAACACATCAGGCCAGAGACTCTCCGTTTAGGGTCCTGGGGTTGACAAGGAAGATGGTGAGACACTGCTGTGGAGGACCTAACTAAAACTATCCCCTTTTCAACCTCCAAGTTTGCCAATATGTTCATAAATGAAGCTCTTTCTAAAGAAGCTTCATGCAGATAATTAAAAACACTCTGACCCAATGTTACATGACCAGGGCATTTTTATTTAAAACTGCTTGCTGATTCCCAACCTCACACCATTTCCTCTATCTTTTTTGAGCTGCTTATTTCTAAAGAGTCACAGGAGGACATGCAGAAACAAGATCAGCCTGGAATGGCTGGATTGGACATGGATACCCTTCCTCAGAATCCACTCTGGGTGGGTGATTTGTGGCATTTTCCTGTTGCCTGCTAGGAGAGGAGCTGAAAGCAATTACACGAGGAAGTTAATCAGACCATCAAGCAAGGTCAGAGGGGGACATGGAAACTTCAAGACGTCTGTATCAAATCAAAGAACCGTTTGAACTTGCAACCACATCTAACATAAATTCTAGTTTTTCTTATAAACTCAGTATAAAGTAAATTCATCTGAGTAAAAAAGGGCAGAGAACCATTGAATCCTTTTTGCTTTGTTTTTGGGCTACACCTGGCAGTGCTCAGGGATCACTCCTGGCAGGGATTAGGGGGGAATATGTGGAGTACTAGGAATGGAAGCTGAGTCTGCCATATGCAAGGCAAGCACCCTATCTGCTGTATAATCTCTCCAGCCCCCAGAACCATTGTATCCCCCTCCCGCCCCCATTTGGTTTTTGGGCCACACCTGGCAGTGCTCAGGGCTTCCTCCTGGCTCTGTGTTCAGGGATCATTCCTGGGAGGGCTTGGGGAACCATACAGAGTGCCAAGGATTAAATCCAGATTGGCCTTGTGCAAGGCAATTGCTGTACCCGCTGTACTATCGCTCCAGGCCCTGTATCTTTTTTCTTACAAGGGCTGCTTCCTTTTTGATTCAGTAATAAAATTGTTACTGATAGAGGAATTTCAAAATAAATGTTCTCAAGAAATGTCATTATTTAAAAGAGATCGTTGAGAGTTGGAGAGAGAGCTCAGTGGACTGAGTGCTGCTTTGCATGTGAGACGCCTGGGCTCAATTCCCAGCACTGCATGGTCCCTTGAGCACTGCTGGAGTGAGTCTCAGGGCAGAGCTGGGAGAAGCCCTGGAATACTCATCAGGTAAGGTCCCCACAACCAAAATAAAAAAAAGAAAAAAAAAGGAAAAAAAACCCAACAACAACAGAAAGCTAACTGTAGCTTAGATTTCATTTTGATTTCTTACCTGATGTATAGTTCCATCGATTTCAACTGGAACTATAAAATCGGCATTACTAATAGGCTAGAAAGAAAAGGAACTATAATTAATATGTCTGAAAGAACAACAACAACAACAACAACAAAAAACTGGGAACTTCAGCAAGGAAAATGCCTGCCTTCACCAGTTTGGAAATTGGAAAAAAAAATCAGCTTAGGAGAATGATGTTTGTAACGCAAGCACAAGCAGGAATGCACATTATTTTGCTCTGAGTGACACTGGGGAGGGAAGCTGGGGCTTCACACAGGAAAGCCAAGTGCTCTAGTGCTGAGCTGCACCCCAGCCCGCATAATACTTTGTTTTGAATACTGTCAAGACCTTCAGTGGCCGGTCTGTTTTACCACAGATGATAGGGAACCACTGCTGGCCGCCAGGGGAAGAGACAAGAGCCCAGTGGCCCTGAAATACAGTGCACCCAGGAGAGAACAAGCTCTACCTTGACCCACAGTACAGGTTGCCCTGCGCGGGGCCCCTCGGTAGTAGAGGTTCCTTAAATGTGCCACCATTTGTCCATTTTTGCTGTAGTCAGGGGCCAAAGGTGGTGACCCTGCTTGGGCAGGATCCCCGCTCTCGGGGCCTCCAGTTTCTCTCCTGCACAGCCATGGGATCAGGGCTCAGTTGGTCTAGGCCTGAGGACCTGTAATTTTGGGCTCTGTCTCCTGGCCAGGTTGATGGGGACAGTTGGCCCATACTGCAGAGCTCTGCAATCTTCAGCACACCTGCACACGCTGGGTACTTCAACTAGCACTTTGGAGGGTGCCAACAGTGCCTGACACTTCAATATGAATCAGCAGCAGTCATCGTGTTCTCAGTGATGGACTTGGCTAAGGTCAGAATAGAATTCCAAAAACCAAAGGAGAAAGTGACTCACGTAGGTCCAAGTAAATGGCACAAGGCTGTAAGCCTTGGGACAAGTCAGAGGAGAAGGGAAAGCCCAGCCGGGTGGTGACGAGGCCATGGGGTAGGCGGGTGTTCAGAGAGAGCCAGAGTCCGATCCAGGGTCTGCCTTCACATGTACGTCATTGAGTGTGCACTGAGGTTCTTCGACGTGTAAACTGGAGAAATGTAGCGAATCTGTGTGTGGAGCCATTACTAAGCACAGGAGAGGACCCGAGGCTCCTGAGGACAGTCTGTTCAGGCTGATGGCTGGAAGGTTGAGTTCAGAGTTTTATCATTTCATACCTATTACAGAAAATTATGCTAAAAGCTAAAGGAGGAACAAAGAAGCTCTCCCAAGGCACTGGATTGTGAGGCCATATTCCACTGGGTATAGTAAAAGCAAAAAATCCTTCCGCAGATGAGAGCCAGTGCTGGCCCTCCATCTCCTCACAAGTATAGAGGAAGCCATGCTGGCTCCAGAGTTCTCAGCCTGGGATCACGAGCCTGAGTGCTGCATGTGCAGCCGTAACACCTCAGAGCGAGGCTCGTGGTGTTTGAATGCTCAGAGGGCTTTGAGATGCTCAGTGCACCAAAGCCCACACATCCATGCAAACACAGGCAGGCCTGAGAGAGCCGAAAGGAGGAGATGCTGTGTTACCGTTTATCGCTGACCTCTGAGCAGGTCCTGGAGACTCTGGGGTAGCCGAGGCACTGGCTTTCATGCTGGGAAGCCTCAGGAACCTTGGGCCAGCAGGGCCCACGTGTCTGGCTTGGCAGGAAGCTGTTTACACTGTGTCAGCAAATGATCCCTGTTCCAAAGAGCCCTGGGGGGAGAGAGGCCTCTGGTGCTGTCATCGTGGAGCCAGTCCTGGCTGGGCACTTGAGAAGCTGGGGAACAAGGGGCTCCTGACACACCTCCATGGTCATTTCTCCCTGCTAGAAAGCAGTGTGCGTCTCTCCCAAAGGACTCACAGTCTTGCACCGTCAAGGAAGGCATCTGGCCAGTGAGGAGCAGGCACAGGGCAGAAAGATCTTCTGGCAGATTTCAGGGTTCTTCCACTTCCCACGGAAACATCCAAGAATGAGCAGAGAGCCCAGGAGATGGAGTGTAGAGCAACTGGCCAGCCTGAGTTGAGTGACGCAGCATGGATCCACAGCCAGAAACCATTTAAGAAAAATACCACCAGGGTCCTCTACACCTGCCACTGCGACACGGCCCACCAATTCTCTCCCCAGACCTTGTCCTTCTGCTTCTTTCAACTGATTCCATTCCAAACAGTGGAAAAATGGTGAGTCAACTCATGGTGTTGCCGCAGCTGTCCCCGTGCAGAGCTCCTGGGTTGTGCAGACATTCTGCTCTGATGCCGGTGGGGTGATGGCTGGGACGAAGGTCATCAAAGCTCGACCGAGGCTCATCTTCCCATTGCTGCTGCGCCACATCCTGCAGGACGCCGGTGTCAGGCTGGTGGTGGCTTACTCAGCTGCCGTGTTTATGAAAACCTTCGGCCAGTGTGGGTTGTGAATCAATGGCTGAATCAGGGTCAAAATAAATGGCTGAATCTGTTCCGATGCTCTAACTCCAGAAGTTGTCGTCAGAATTGGGCATCTTCCAAAAGCTTGTCTGTCTGGGAAGAATTCCAGGCTAACGAGTTCTTTGACAGTTTTCAGCAGTAAAACACTGCTTCTCTCACCCCCACTCAATTAAACATGGAGCACTCCAGTCACCTTCACAAATACACAGCAGCATCCCGGGGTCTTGGAGCACTGATGGCCAGGTACCACTGGCAATGGACTTTTGCAGGGGCTGGAATGTGGGAAACCTTGGATCTCAGAGGGAACGAGTCTCAGTGATGTTTGCAGCCCGTATTTCTGCCCCAAACATAAGTTGTTAATATTCAACTACCTTAGTTAAAGTTCACCTAGGTTAATAAGCGCTGTTTTGTGATCTCTTTGTTAATGGTGAACTCTTAAACTATCAACTACAAGCTTTCCTCCTTTTCATTTTTCCTTTCAATACAACTGATCAAATCACAAATATTACCGTTATTTTTTGTTGTTGTTGATTTACCTTGAATGAACTGTGCACCAACGTTTCATCTAAATCAATGACCACACATTTCTTTCCATAGTCAAGCACTGTCACCTCTGGAAGGAGGTACTTAGCTGGTGGCTAATGGGGAAGGGGTGGAAAAACAGCATTATTACTTTGATGTAAAAGACAGTCGATTCCTTTATTAAAGTATTCTCTCATGCCATTATTAATACAATTGAATACATAAGTGCCTGATAAAGCATAGAATGAAATTTTATAGAAAACAACAGGAATAAGTAATTTGCAACTGATGTTTTACTAAATACCATGAAAGGCTACTATGAAGGTCTAGGCTTTGGGGACAGACAAATCTGGATTTGAAAATAGGCTGCCACTTTCTCAACTGAACGTTGGGATAATCATTTAAGGCTATTCTCATCAGCTGGAATTACAGTAAAATTCCACCTGGCACACATATAGTGGTAAATATTATTACCAAAATGGATGACACAAAAATGAATGCTTAATTCTAATAACTATTCTTTGCAGGCCCATTTCCTGGGGTCATATTTTATCTGAAATTCACCATGGTACATAATTATATTTAGAGCCATATCAGAATTGTAATAATTTTCAGTGTCCGAAATTTAAAAAAAAATCTTGAAGAGAAATATGGACTTGCTAGCAAAATGGAAGCCAAAGTTACCTCCATCCAATCCCAGGGAACAGATATAAAGCTGGTTAAGGTATCAGGAACTGCTTTGGCCTGTCCCACTTGGATATACTCTTTAGTGAATGGGGCTAATTTTTTTTTTTTTTTTTTTTTTGCTTTTTGGGTCACACCCGGCAATGGACAGGGGCTACTCCTGGCTCTGCGCTCAGGAATTACCCCTGGCGGTGCTCAGGGGGCCATATGGGATGCTGGGAATTGAACCCGGGTTGGCCGCGTGCAAGGCAAATGCCCTACCCACTGTGCTATTGCTCCAGCCCCCAAATGGGGCATTTTTACCCCTTGGGTTCTTTGTGGAAGTTATACTTTCAGCCACATGTTTTGCTAACTGGAAGATATGTGTATATTTTTAAAAGTAATGACTCTAATCTTGTGACGAAGAAGGCATAAAGATTAAAAAATGCTAGGTATCTTTTTGTTTTAGAACAGTGCTTCTCAAAGGGAAGTGAGTGGGGGCTGGGGGGTGCAGTAACCTAGATGCAATCCTGGTGCTTTGTTTGCTTGTTTAAAGAAGGCAGATTTCCAGGGGACATTGAGTGATTTTTTTTTTTGGCTGAAAAGGGGGTGGTAAACCAAGTAAGTTTGGGAACCCCTGATTTATAGTATTTCTTTCTTTGGGAGCTGCTGCACTCAATGTAATTTGAGGCATTTTTGTTTTCTTAGTGGCACACTGGTATTCGATGTCCAAGGTTAATTTTTTATCCTGGATGAAGGTCAAGCTTTGTTCAATTCTTGGTACAAAACAAAACATGCCAAAAAAAAAAAATCTGTCTTTAGCAACAAAAGTATTGGCAATTTAAAACTTTTGAAAGAAGTGTGGATGGGGGAGGGGATGAAATTTGTTAAAAATAGCCCTTTGAAACAGTTCTTTTTGTTGTTTGTTTATTCTGTTTCAACTCAATGTTAGTCAGGCTCTAGGGTCCATTTTGGACTTCAGGGACTGTAAGCCTGATGGTCAGCAAGCCAGGTGAACATGCCAGGGTGGTGGCAATCCTGGAGGGAGACACTGACTGGGGACAGGGAGGATGTGTGGGGACACACATGTGTCTGACAGCACAGCTCTCCTGGGTCTGGCATCTTGAATTCTTTCTGACCCCATTCAGGAGAAAAAGTCCTAAGTGCCTCCATGCCAGGCTTCACTGAAAGCTCATGGGCAGGAACGCCTAGGGGCACTGGGAAGAAGGGTGTATGCCTTGGACTTGGGGCCCCCAGCAGGACTCGGCCCTTCATTCTAAGTCAGTGACCAAGCAGCTTAGTAAAGAAATTAACCGTGTGAGAGGAAGTTTGGTCTCACAAATTGTCTTGGTGGCAGGGCCCAGTGAGGTCTCGATGTAAACACAATAGGGAAGATTTGAGTTATTTTCATTGTTTGGGCTATGCTGAGGAAAAGCATGTCTGTGACTAGAATAAAATGTGGTCTGATTTCTATTCCACAGATATATAATAAGAGCATGCTCTCTCTTTAAAAAATACAGACAATAACACTGTGATGATTTCTCTTTCATGCCCTCTGTTCTTTCTCTCAGATATACCCCTTCTGGTTTGGGTTGTGTCTGTCACTCACTTCTTCACTTATTTATCAAGTAATACTTTTTTGTATTTGCTAGCCTGGAAAAGAAGGATCTAGAAATCCATTCTCTAGCACATCTTAATTCACTATGGATCTGTCAACAGTGGCTCAGCTATTATCAGAACCTAAGGAAAAAAACTAGTCCTTTCTTAGCTGGTTTCACTTAGATTTCACAGGCTTCCTCTGAGTTAATGGTAAGGAAAGTATTCTCATTGTACTTACTATTCTAAGAAAAGGAGAAGGATGAGACTCATATTAAGCAAGCTATTAGAAGTACCAGTTGTTGTTTTGGGGCCAGAGCCAGCCATGCTGGGGGCTACTCCTGTATAGGGCTTGAAGGGTCAATGTGGTGCTGGGGATGGAACTTGGACATCTAGATGTCAAATGTGTGCTCCAGTCCTTTGCGCCATCCTCTTGGCCCTAAGCAAGCTACTGATTTGGCATTTGTGCTTCAGAGAATGAAGCCAGGTTGCAGTACCATGGGCGAGGGTCCCATTAATCCTGAGTCCATTTCCCAAATGCACACAACTTTGGAGAGTGTGGCTTAAAATCAACACAGATTCTGGAAATCCCTGCTAAGAATGCTCCTGGACATTTGTAGCCCTAGAACCTGTGAGTAACTGCAGTGGTGCTTTTGTTTCTTCCATCAATCTGTGCAGGTGATTTTGGAACCATTAATGGCAAAACTGTCCCGAAGCAGATTTTTCTCCCAGGCCTTTGCAAAGCTCCAGAAATAAAAGATGCATCAGGAATATAGATAAGAACCTTTTCTTGAAAAATTACTTGTTCCAAAGTATGTGGAGGTCATGGCTAGATGAGTGGAGGAAGTGTGTTCTGTGTGTGTGTGTGTGTGTGTGTGTGTGTGTGTTTGTGTGTGTGTGTGTGTGTTGAGAAGGGGGACAGGGCAGAGGCTGGCTACTGATGGTTTGGAAATGCATACTGCATTCTTGCTTTGCCCCCAGAAGAGCTGAGTGAGATTTTTTGACCTTGGTGGTGAAATGGCAGCCCTGAAGAGGTGATTCAAAGGTCTCACCTTCAGAGGACTGTCCCCTATTTCCTCACAAATATCAAGAGATATGGTACCTCTTTTGCATCTACTGTACTTGACAATTCTCAGGCCCAGGGCAGCACACTGGGCTTCCCCAAGTCTCTGAGTCCTGGGCTGAGAGCTCAGAGCCTCCTACAGGGGCAAAGAAGACTCCAGAAGGACTTTAACTAGCTATGTCTGATGTATGGTAATATATTCCTCAAAAGATTATGATTGGGGAAAGTACATTACTACTAATTACTACCGTTCCTGAACGGTCAGAGCGATAGTACAGGGGTAAGGTGCTTGCCTTGCATGGGACCGACCACGGTTTGATTCCCAGCACCACAAGGGGTCACTCCTGAGCAGAGGGCCAGGGATAGCCCATGGGCACCTCAGGGCATGGCCTGAAAACCCAACAATAAGATAGTCCCATTTATCTATCTCTGTTTTCACTTGCTTGGCCAGAAACCCAAGCACAAAAATTTGTAAGTCTACAACTGTACCTCATGGTGTTTCACTAATAAAAATAAAAAAAAAAACAAATAAATTTAAAAAGTAGTAAGTTGAGGCAAAAAAGGCACAGAAACATAACTGTTAGAAAGTAATTTCTGTTTTCCTCTCTTAGTGTTTCTGTGACTCAACTCTACTGCCAACCTGCTTTAGGGCATTAGTGTCACGTGCCAATCAAGCAGGGGATGAGGACACCAAGCCTTTGACCATCTCAAAGGTCAAAATCACTGTCCCAGTGACATTCCTTTTGAGTGAAAGCACTGGAATGCTCACCTCCAGCCATGGCCACCCAAAAACCTTTGCCTTTGTTTCTTTCTTACCTATCAAGACCTGATTTTTATTCAACAGCTCATATAACACTTCCCAGTAAGATGCAGGGAAGGCCCCAAACCTCAGCTCAGAGTTGGGAGACATCCCTCATGAAGAAGAATGTTAAGCATCAAGTTCAGATAAAGATGTCCTTTCCATTAGGTGTGCACAGATGGATTATTGAACTGACTTGCTGCTTGGAAAAAGAAGTAAAACATGACCTCAGCCTTGCATCAACATAAATTCCAGATGGATCAAAGATTTAAGTGTTATGATGAAACCACTAAAAATCAGGAGAAAATATGGATTGCAGTGGGCGTGATCTCCACACAGAATTTTATGACACAAAATCAGATGTCATAAAAGATAGGTATATTTTCCTATATAACATAATGCTCCTTCACGGTCACGGTCCTTCCATTGTTCATCGATTTGTTCGAGCGGGCCCAGTAACGTCTCCATCGTGAGACTTGGTGTTACTGTGTTTGGCATATGGAATACGTCATGGGTAGCTTTCCAGGCTTTGCCGTGCAGGCGAGATACTCTCGGTAGCTTGCCGGGCTCTCCGAGAGGGGTGGAGAAACTGAACTCAGGTCGGCCATGTTGGCTACATGCAATGCAAATGCCCTACCTGTTATGCTATCGCTCCAGCCCTTATTATTTAGAAATGATTGGGGCCTGAGAGATAATACAAGGGTTAAGGCCCTTGTTTTGCATGCAGCCAATCTGGGTTCTATCCCCAGCACTTCCCTTGGTCCAGTGAGCCTCACCAGGAGTGACTCTTGAGCACAGAACAAGGAACATGTTCCGAATATAGCCAGGTGGGGTTACAAAACAAAACACAAAGGCCACATAAAAATAACTGTATACAAGGCCAAATAGAAGATGTTAATTTGGGCGGAAAACACTAATTTCCTTGAAATTTGAAAAGATAACACAATATAAAAATCAGAAGAAATGAATGGGGACGAGAAAGACCAGGGAGAGAAATACACATGTGAAAACACATTCAAACTTCCCATAAAGAAATGAATGCACATCCAAGGCATAAACTGACATCATTCTTCACTTTCAGCAAAAATGAGAAACATTAACTACTGGACACTTCTGGGAAGAGCATAATGGGCAATCCCATTAAGAGCAATTCTAATGGGAGCATAAATTAGGCTCCCGGAGAATAATCTGGCTTTAACCACCAGACCCACAAGCACATCCTTCACTGAACGTGCTTCCCAAGAGCATCCGCAGTTAAGGAAGGAGCATCACACATATTCTGTCGCTGGAGTCCGGCAGTGCCCTGCACAGAAGCCTGGGAAGGTTGGGAGGGGACAACGCAAAGGTCCATCCTCGGTGAGGTTGGTCTCTGTGGACTCATATTTGGGAAGTAACTTATAATTTTGAGGCCCCATTTGACTGTACTCAGGAATCACTCCTGGCAGAGCTTGGGGGACCACATGTGGTGCTAGAGATCTCTGGTCCTTCAATGATTTTCTATTTGTTTTGGGTCCGTATCTGGTGCTGCTAAGGAACCACTACTGGTGGGCCTTGGGGCACCATATGTGGTATCAGGGATGTGACCTGGGTTGGCCACGTGCAAGGCAAGCACCCCACCCATTGTACTATTACTCTGTTGCCCTCCTGCCCCCTAATTAAAAGCAAAAAATCACACTGTAAAATTCTCATTTGTATCAATATGCTTCTGCTTTTTAGAAGATTTCTGGAAGGAAACATAACAAATATAAAATATGGTCATTATTGCGAGAGGTACTAATTCAGGGTTTTATTTTCTTCCTACTTTAATCCTGCATAGTTTTTAAAAACTATATGCGTAGTGAAACATCTAAAGACCAAAGATGCACATCTAAATTGTGTGTTATGTATATGAAAAAGAGTGGAGAGGTGAAATTCAGAGGTGAGAGCCTCAGCGGAAAGTGCACCCAGAGCCGCCTGAGAGCTCTCTGGGTTCCTGGTTTGGGGGCTCAACTCAAGCCTGGGTTTCTGGGTGGGTGGTGCATCACCCTGCAGTGACCCCGACACTAACCAGGTCCTCCTGTGATCTGGAGAGCAGGACTCTTCTCTTCATGGGACCTGCTGCCTTGTTAGGTGGGTGTAGATTTACAAGGGACCCCAAATCTTAACTACTAGAGCTAGGGGGCCTCCGGAGGGACCTTGATTCAGCCCTACAAATGAAGCAGGCAGGTGATCAGACCGTGTCTGCTACTGGAATTGCCTTTCTAGACGTGATGACTTAGAGATGCAAGTTATCTTGGCTTTCTGTTAAGACAGTTCAAAGATTCCTGAGGCCTGATCTGGTGTCATGTGTAGGAAGATGTTGGCAGCCTACTGACCTTATACTAGGATACATTACATAAAGAATCTTTCCCTGATATCTTATCAGAGATTCTAGAGTCTAGATTTGTGAGTAAAGGCTCCAGATCTTACTCTGACAAATGTTTTTCTAGAGTGCTGTGGCTTCACATTCAGAAAAAAGAAGGGGTGTGTGTGTGTGTGTGTGTGTGTGTGTGTATGTGTGTGTGGGAGACTAAGGACAAACTGAGAATTTGGTGAATAGATGTGGGTGGCCCTGCTGTTTCCGAGAAAGGGAGCTGCCTGCTCACATTTTCATCCTTCTTCTTTAAACAGAACAGAGCAGTTCATGCCACATGACAAAATTCAACATCAGCAAGCACATTCTAAAAGTCTTTCACATCAGTAGGCCCAAAGCCACAAGAGTCTATGAATGTTTAAATAAAAGTGGATAAATATACATACACTTGGGATGGGAATGACCTGCCTCTGGTCACCCTGAGGAAAAAGAAAAAAAAAATTATTGTCAGGTTGGAAGAGAAGCTGCAGGATCATAAACTCAAGAGAAAACTTCAAAGCACTGGAATACAATAATCATGGGACTTCCTGTTCTGGGTGCTGTTTACTGGACAGGAGGAACCCAAAATTCAGGTCGCTAGTTAGGGCTCCATGCTAACTCTGTCTGCCAGAAATCCCACCTCCCCTGACCAGCCAGGCTGGGTTCCAGAGGCTCATTAATCATCCTGTTTATTTGTTTACTTCTAGGAATTTAACACTTAATTTAAAAATAAAATAGAAAATGCATACTTTTATTTTGTATGATCATTCCCACTTTCCACTGGCCTATTTCTTTTTTGCACTTTTGTTTTCATTTTGGGGCCATAGCCTGGTGGTGTTCAGGTGTTACTTCTGGCTCTGCACTCAGGGATCACTCCTGGCAGTGCTCAGGGGAACATATAGAGATTAAACCCCGGCTACCTGCATGCAAGGCAAGTACTCTACCTGCTGCACTATTGCTCTGGCCAAGTTTTTTTTCCCCCTCACCTTCCTTGAAAAGATGACCATTTCACTCAACATAATAGGCAAGGCAAGGAAGCCAAGTTCATCAGAGTACATCTGGCCACTCTTGGTCTTTCAGCTAAGGGCTAGACTGGGCAGAGGGCACCAGGTAAGGTGTAAGAAGTTCTCCTGTGGGCCATGGACATGGGCACAACTTTCCCTTTAGGGGAGTGGAAACTGTATCATAAGGAACCTCAAGGAAGAGACAAAAACCACTCCTCAGCCCCAGAATGCTGGCAGTGTCAGACAGAGTGGATGAAAACACTTCGTATTAGCACCATTAAGATAAGGCTAATAAAAAAAAACCAATTTGTCTCCACTGTCTTCATATCGTGTTTCCTCTTTACTGAGGGCAGGATAGGAGGCAAAGAAGAGCAGCACAGCAGAGTTCCTGACACAGAAACGACAGATCCATCTTTATCAAGGAGGTCACTGGTGACAGGGATTTCGAGAGAAGGAGCCACATGTCACTGTCAACAGTGGCAGGGGCCTGGCACTTGTCTGAAGAATCACTGAGCCTGTGCTGATTACTCTGAGCTTCTGTACTGTAATGTCAACCACTACTTCCTCAGGAGATGGTGTCTGTGGCTCCTGAAAGTTATCTTAAAGGATTCTATACTGCTATAGCTCTCCAGCGCGATGCGCAATCAAATCAAGGCCCAGTTTTCAGAAATCTAGGCAGAGAAGTTCCTTTCAGAAGCTCTTAAATTATCCCCAATATCTGGGACAAGGATCAAATCACTACTCCTTTTTCTCCAATTTATTTTTTATTTCAGGCAGCTGTTAATGCAGGGCTTAATGTTGTACGCATGAAATAATACAGGCTTTCATGTATACAACACTTCAACACTATAGCCTCCACTAGAGTGTTTGCTTCCATCTACCACTGTCTCAGGATCTCCTCCTGAACCCGCCAACCCCACCCTCTAGCCCATCTCCCCACCCTAAGTTCAGTTCTGCAGCTCTCAGATCTCAGGTTCTGTTATCTCTGGCCATTTGTTATTCCTTTACGATGCTTCTTCACACCCCACATATGTGAGTGATCTTTCTGTGTCTGTCACTCTCCTGCTCTCCTTCACTCAGCACAACATCCTCCAGTTCCATCCCGAGTGACAAATTACATGATCTCATCTTTTCCCATAGCTGAGTAGGATTCTGTTGTGTATATATACCAATTTCTTTATTCATTCATCTTTGGGTTATTTGGAATATTTGGGTTGTTTCCAGACTTTATTTTGTGCAGTGCTAGAACAAATGTTGGTGTGCAAATGTCTATTCTGAATAGTTTTTGAGCCCTTCGGATAGATGCTCAAAAGTGGGATTGCTGGGTCATACAGAAGCTCAATTCTAAGTTTTCTGTGATATGCCCATTTTCCAAAAAGGCCAAACCAGTTGACATTCCCACCACAGAGGATGAGGAGTCCACTCTTTCCCCTCATACTCATGCTAATACTTTTATTTGGGGGTGGGGTGGGGTAGGGTTCTTTATGATGTGTCAATCTCACTGGTGCGAGGTGATCTACTGTATTGATTTGCATTTCCCTGATGATAAGTGATGGAGAACTTTTTTTTTATATAATCTTTGTGCATCTTTATGCCTTTAAGGAAATTTCTGATCATCCCCCATTTTAAAATTTTTATTGTTTTTGGGCCACACCCAGTGGTGCTCAGGGTCTACTCCTGAATCTGTGCTCAGAGATCATTCTCATTCCTAGTGGAGCATATGTGGTTTGGGGGATCAAACCTGGGTCCATCACATGCAAGGCAAATACTCCACCTCCTGTACTATCTCTCTGGACCCTTTCCCCATTTTTGGATGTTTTTTAAAAAATTGTTTTACAAGTGCTTAATACATCTTAGGTATTAATCTTTTTATCATGTGGCAAATACTCTTCCCATGTCTTTTGTTCTAGTCCTCATTTCTCTGGCGGGGCACGAGTCTCTTTATTTGATGCAGTCCTTCTTTCTTTCTCTCTTCGCTTCCCTCTTAATTGGCCATGCGCATTAAGCCATTGAAAATGCCTCTGGATTTAATGTCATGAAGGGTTCTGCCGATGTTTTTCTTGATGTAATTTATGGATTCAGGACTGATGTCAAGGTTTTTAGTCCATTTTGAATTGACTTTTGTGCATGGTGTGAGAAAGGGGTTTAAGTTCATTTTTTAAAAAATACAAAACAAAACATGTTTTTACCAGTTTTTCCAGTATCTGTTGTTGAAGAGGTTTTTCCTATTCCACTATTCCTTACTCCACTTGCTCCTTTGTGAAAGATTAGCTGTCTATATACCTGTGATCTGCCGGTGGGCTCTCGGTTCTATTCCACTGATCTGAGAGTCTGCTCTCATTCCCGTACCACACCGTCTTGATCACAATAGCTCCACCCAGTCTCGACTCTCAGTGGTGGAAAGTATAACCTGAAGCTCACATGCACAATGGGTTACTGTTGTGTAGGGTTCCTCAGTCTTGGCTCCGCTGATGTTCTGGGTGATAACTGTGTCCTGTGAACTGTAGGACACTTAACAGCAACCCTGGCTTCTACTCTTCAGGTGCCAGTGGCATCACACCCCCTCCAGGGGGCAAATACTCCAGGGGTGACATAATTATCTCCAGACATTGCCAAATATTCCCGTGGGATAAACCTGATTGAGAAGCACCACTCAGATGGCGATTTCTAAAGAGGTTCTATACCCTCAGAATCACATTTCTGAGGAGATGAGCACATAGGTGGGGTAAGATTCCCAAAACACAACTGAAGGTCCCAACAAAACACAGATAGCAAATGCTTTAGACAGATCACTGGGCTTAAACTTTACTCTCCAGGCTGACAACTATGAACTGTTCATGTGTCTGTGGAGTGAGAATACATATGTGTATTCAGCAATCCCTATTACTCTGTTCTCATCCTTACAAGCACCTCACTGTCTCTGCCAATGGCTGTGGGATTTCTGGGGGTTGACTCCTTTCAGTTGGGCCACTGATGGGGGAGGCAATGATGGCGACTCTGATACATTGTTGCCAAAGCAACTTGAAACTGTGAGGCTCCAAATTCTCATTTCTCCAGTGCAAAGTAAACCTGAAGGCTGGATGGCACTGTAGAGGCTATCTGTCACATATGGTCCCAAATCCTTCTTTTTTTGAGGGACCATACCCTGCTGTACTCAGGGCTAACTCCCAGCTCTGTGGTCAGGGATGACTTTTGATGGGGTTCAGGGGACCACATGTGGTAACTGGGTATTAAAGCTGGGTCTGCTTCATGCAAGGCAAGTACCTTAATCCCTGTATCATCTCTCTAGCCCCCCGCTGTATTTCCTCCACCTCTGTCCGGCATGCTATCAGTTTCAGGAGGCAGGAACAGTAGAAACTCAGGTCTAGAATTTGCTCTCCCCGACAGTGGGCCTGGCTTTGTGCTCCAGACTGACTGCAAAGGACAAAGGGTCTCTCGCCTGTGGGAACGAGAAGCCCCACTCCGTTGTGGGCGCTGGTCTCACTGACTTGAAAATCAAGTGTTACATAAACGGTGACTTCAGATTTACCTACGTTAACTCAGAATTAATTCAATTCCTTAAAAAGAACTGGAAACACTTTTGACAAATGTTAACTGAAAAGAGAGTCCATAAATGAATACTAAGTGTAGGTGAGTTCAGCTCTGTGCTAGAGAAATTGCTTTCTAAGGCCTGTGGCCTCGGTAGATATGATGCCATACCCTTTTCTCAGGTCATTCCAACCAGGCAAGATCATTTTGGAAATATTTCTTTCTTTTTTTTTTTTTTTTTGCTTTTTGGATCACACCTGGCTATGCTCAGGTGTTACTCCTAGCTCTGCACTCAGGAATTACTCCTGGCGGTGCTCAGGGGACCATATGAGATGCTGGGAATCAAACCTGGGTTGGTGCGTGCAAGGCAAATGCCCTACCCGCTGTGCTATAGCTCCAGCCCCAATTCTGGAAATATTTCTTAAAAAATTTTTCTTTGCTTTTATTTTTGTGCCACGCCTGGTAGTGTTCAGGGCTTACCCCTGGCTCTGTCCTCAGGGATCTCTCCTGGGGGTCCTGGGGGACCCTATGTGGTGCCGGGAATTGTACCAAGGTTGGCAAGGCCAATGCCGCTGTACTGTATTTCTGTGGTCCCACTTTGGAAATATTTCTGCCACAAAAGCAGTGATTCTTCTTTTCTCCTTGGCAAGTATAGGACACACACAGTCTTCCAGCTGATTTTGCCCTTCCCTGCCCTCTGCTGCAGTTGTGATGACGAGGCGTTTCGTGCACTTGGTTGTGGTGCTGCTGGGGGTGGCACCCTTGAGCTGCAGTGCTTGTACACAGATGGCTGTGGCATGCCACAAGCCACATAAGCTGCTATGGTGCCGAGGGTCCCTGAATGCAGAGTGTCTACCCTTTCAGTTAGTGCCAATGCAAGGTAGCAGGGGCTGAATTCACAGCTCCAG